ACGGCAGCGAAAACGTAACTTTGAGTAATTTCGAGGTTTTTGAAACTTCAGCGCGATTATCCCAACTCGCTCACTTTCTCAAACCACTAAGCTACAGGAGACTCGTGGGAACTGAGGCTACTGAACAATTATTCCTCAAGCCCGAATGGGCTCTGAGTCACTAATAACTCTATCTAATAACTCAGAGGCCATGAGGGCGAGAGGAATAATTGTTTTAGTAAAATCTAACTAGTTGGTCAAAAATATCGAGACAAAACAACTTTAGCTAGTCAAAAATAGACTTTAATCCTTTTTTTGCCGCCAAAAAGCCGGCGCGTTTCGCTACTAGTGGGGTGTAACAACTAGCCTAGTAGTAGCTTAACCAATCAGAACGCAGCATTGATAATAGACCACTCGTTGGATTTTACTAATAGACTATATTCCTGTGACAAACATTGTGCATACTGCTAGACCTGGAATGTCGACTGACATGTGCTTATGCATAATGATAGAAATGTGATGGTTAATTTAAGCCTGGTGAATATATGAGAAAGGTGTGTTTTTTTTTTCAGTCAGAGACATCTAAGGCGCTTCGCTAGAAAAAATTCCTAGTTCTTTCAAAATCGAGGATATCGTCTGATACTGGAAAACGTCCCACAATTATTGAAGGGTCACTCACTTAATTAGCAATTAATGAAAGAGGCTGAGTAGGATATGAAGAATTATGCTGATCGAGGAGGGTGTAATCCACCGAGGCCGATTGCCGAGGTGGATAACGCCCTCCGAGATCTGCAAAATTCTTTATATCCTACCAAAGCCGAATTCATTAATTGTTTTATTATTCATTCAAAATAATTCCTAGTTTGAAAACAAGCTAAAACATGCTTACCTTCGTCGAAGTTAGGTTCACCTCGACAGTGCATGTTTAGAAGATAAAGGCTGTTCAGGTCTGCAAATATACTCCAAATAGCAGACGTTGTCTGACGAGTTGTCTTCTTGCTATGTTTTTAGACAATAGTTCGTCGTTAAACGAGTAAAATGTTCCGCCGACTGTTTGGCCATTTTTCTTTTCACAACCACAACAACTCAACCTCGTCCTCAAGTCTTCATGGTTAACGGTTCATTAACCTGCAACTGTGCCGCACTTTTGACGTCATTGGATGATTAATCGCAAAATTCTTCCAAATTTGGTTAACAATAGCTGGTTATGGTCAATTATGCGCGTGCTTTTAGCCAATCAGAAACTGAGAAATAATTTGAATGAATAATAATTAACAATTAATGAATGAGGCTAAGTATCTTGTGAAGAATTATGGAGATCGAGGAGGGTGTTATCCGACGGGTCGTAGGCCGAGGCGGATCGAGGCCGTAGGCCGAAGCGTATAACACCCTCCGAGATCTCCATAATTCTTCATATGTTCCAAAGGCCGAATTCAACAATTGTTTTGTTATTCGTTCAGAATAATTCCTAGTTTAAAAGCATAGCTGAAACATGTTTACCTCCATCGATATTAACTTCATCTTCGATAGTGCACGTTTAGGGTTGTTCAGTTCCGCAAATATTCTCCAAATAGCAGATATTGCCTTTCGAGTTGTCTTCTTGCTGTTCTTGCCATGTTTTTAGCTATTACTTCGCCCAGTTCTTACTCTTGAAACGAGTGAAATGTTCGCCATTTTTGTTTTCACAACCGAAACAACTCAACCTCGTCCCCAGGTCTTCTCGGTTAACGGTGCATTAACCTGCAAGAAAGCTGCACTTTTGACGACATCGGTTGATTAATCGCAAAATTTTTCCAAATTTGGTCAATAGTAGCTGGTTATGGTGAATTATGCGTGTGCTTTTAACCAATCAGAATTGGGGAAATCTTTTGAATAAATATTGATCTGTTTATGTCCTCGCTTGGGTGCATACCTTTAGCTTTTATTTATTCATTTTTTTTAGGAGAGAAGACATTGGAGAAATGCTTTGAAACCCAGCGTTCGTTTAAACTTATGGGCCCCCTGGTTGACTCTGAATTTTACCCAGGCTGGATCGACAACTGGGGTATGAAATTCCAGCACCGAGACGCTGAGGTTATCGCCAATGATCTCGATACTTTGCTGAGCGCCAACTATTCTGTAAACGTGTACGTGTTTCATGGCGGGACGAATTTTGGATTCATGAATGGTAATCTGTTCAACTCCTGATCAAGCCCACCTATAAGCACAATAAACAGTGGTAGTCTTTACACTAGAGCCTAAATAAGCTAAGAAATATTTCAAGACAAGTAAATTTTAAATTCTTCAAGTAAAATTAAGCTTCACACAAAACTTAAGGCTTTTTTCCCACGCAGCATAATTAAGATTGATCGACATGATTTGCCTTTCTTAAAGCTCAAGAAACCGCAAGTTGCTGAGTCGGTTTTAAGGATGGTTTTCAAGTCACTTGAAACTTTCTTCAATCGTTTCAACTTTCCGACTTTAATGAGATGGTCGAGATGCAAAGTAAAATACCTTGAGATTTTACTTGGTCCTTCACTCATGATCACGTGTGTTTGGTTAAGTAATAACTTAGCAGCTCTTAAGTCTTACTTAACGACCTTGTGTAAAGACAACCAGTGACTAGTGTGTTTTTTGATGGCTTTAATATCTAAATACTACGAAACCTCGCCTTGCAGGGCTAATTGCGCTGGCCTGTGAATGACCTGTGTAAGCGTGAAGTTCATTCTAGGTTTTGTCAAGTCGGCAGTAACAAATTTTGCTATAACAGTGTCAATTCAGAAAGCTTCGGTTTTAGTTGCTCTGTATGATTTAATTCTGTCCAAAAATTTAGAGCGACATTGTGCAACCTTTTGGCACATCATATAAAAAAGTCTTGTAAAAGGGAAAGGTTGACAAAATTTTTCCATGACAAAAAAAAATTTTAAGGTTTTCCATTTACACGACCAAAGCTAATTGAGGGTCATCAAATTAGGCCAGAGGGTTGGAGCAACTCATTTATAGATCCGAGACTAATCATTGAAGAGTGCGCTTTGTTTTAGATTTACTTTTGATTGGTGGAAAAAAATGGCAGGATAGCCTGCTTTAGCCAATCACAAGGCTCAATACCAAAAATCAAGTCACGAGTACATCTCTATTGGCTAGATATCTTTCGTCGTGGAAATGGGAAATCTTATTCAAATGTATAATCGTGATGATTTCATCGCAGAAACTGTCTTTATCAGGTGCTAATCTCTACTACGGCTATAAGCCTCAGATAACCAGCTACGACTATGACGCCCCTATCAGTGAATCAGGAGAGCTTACAAAGAAGTACTTTGCTATGAGGGAAGTGATATTAAAACATCGGGGTCTACCTCCTCTACCTGTCCCTGTATCCACACCGAAACAAAGCTATGGAAACATCTACATGACCAAGGTAAAGACTTTAATCTTTTCTTCAAGTGGGACAAAACAAATTGTTTAGTTTGAAAAACAAATGGTAACAAGTTAAACTAGTACCGATAAGGTTTCCATTAAAGGGTCACTCACGCATTAGTAAATTCTAAATTCTTCGAGGCAAAGAAACTCGTCTTCTGTTCACTCTGTTATCAGGGACAAAAGAAAAAGGACTGAAATAGAATAATTAATTCTGCGTACCGTAAACCTCCACCTATGAGCCTGGGGCTTACATAACTTCGTAAGGGGTTTTACGAGGGTTCATAACCGGACTTTCCAAACCCATTTCAAAACAAGCTATATAGCAGTGATGATAAAAATACGTTTTGAATTTACTTGCTTTTTTAAGCTTCAAAACGTTGTACAATATTGAACTCATTTCAGTACAAGGTATAGGGGGGCCTTCATCCGGGGACTTAAAACTTGATGAATTTTTTTGTTTACAAGACAAGAGACAAGACAATGCTTTATTTGGAGTCTTATACAGTCCTATGTACATCGACTTTATCCAAATAATTTAAAATCATAACACAAATTTTACTCTAGTGGAACTATAATCAATATTAACCTAAAGAACTAATGATCTTCTTTTCTCATAGCAGTTAGAGAGACAGGTAGATGGGCCTATAACTGGGTGGGGGGCAGCGGGGTGGCTCATGATTTGGGAGGGTTATAAGGGGAAGATTACGGTATCATGAGTAAACTGTATTTTTTCCGTATTTTGAACGTATTAGTCTCTTTGGGTTTATTTTCTGGTAATAAGCCCGCCTGATATTTTCTCAGGTGGCCTACTTATTAGATGTTGTCCACAGTCTTTCTCCTTTTGGACCAATCAAAACCGTTCTTCCTAAGACCATGGAAAGTGTTGGACAAAACTACGGCTTCCTCCTTTACCGCTCCCAGATTCCTCAAAAGTTTGCAAATACAAATGTAGAACTAGAAATTCTAGGACTACGAGATCGCGGAATTATTCTGGTTGGCCAGGTAAGAGAGCTATTTTTGTTTACGATTTGTGAGAGCTTGAAAGAGCTCTCACATCAACCTCATACAATGGGTAGGAGAGAACCCTGGGAACGAGGTTGCTCTCACATCGCCAATTTGGAAACAAGAGGGAAACTGGGCCGAGTTAACTGACTTTCGAAAAGTCTTCTGGGATTGTTATAAGGCCAAGGAAAAATTTCGGCCATTTCCGAGTTCTCAAAGCGAGGCTGAGTGCAAAGCCGTTGGTCTGAAAATGATTCTTTTATTCTTATGCAAATAAGACTCATTTTCACAAGAAAGGTTTTGCATCTAGCCTTATTTTGAAAGGGAGTTTTGAGAACTCGAAAATGACCTATTGGCCAATAGGAGCCAATAGCTGAACGATCAGAACGATCCCAGAGACAATTGCGCGACCCATTTCGGCTCCAGTTCTAGGTTCTCGTTTTTAAAGTAGCGAATAGACCTTTTTACCGATACGGCGGCCATATTGAATTAATTCGATTTAAGGAGTATTATAGGATGCCCAGGGCGCATGAGCACATTTCGTTTGTATTTTCGAGCGCTTTTCGGGACATTTTTTCTTCAAGTTTTCTTAGAATAAAATTGTAATGGGAAAAAAGATCCTTGTGCCGTGTTTGCATGTGATAATGATCGCCTTTTTCCCGAGAAATATATAGTGAAAGACCATATTTCTAATACTAAACTAGAAAAAGGTGATCATTATTACATCCGTATCGGTAAAAAGATCTATTACGGTACTGAGAACACGTGAACGCCTGTATTAAACTTTATTTCATCTTACTGTCGTTCACTGCAAAACAATATAATATAAACGTCAAATTATCAAAATTAGGTTTTTGAGACAAACATAAATGCACCAGAAACATTAATTTAGATTTCTCGACCTACGAAAACGCAACGGATGAGAGTCATTCTTACATAAGAAAATTCAGGTTTCAAGATGGAAGACACAGGTGACAGCGAGATTGTAACAAAAAAATTAATAAATGATAGTCAGGTTGTTTGACTGAATTAGTTTTGATTGTTTACTTTGAATTTTTATCTTGGTAAGGAAGGGGAAAAGAGCAAACAACCAGTGAAGAGAAAACGATGGTTTATGGGTGGTTTCGTTTTGTGGTTTTATTCTTAAGATTTACAGCTTCAATACGCCACATTGAGAAATAGGCTCAAGCAGCGAGGAACACTGAGAGCCTTAGAATATCCTCTTTACCTATCTTTGTCATTTAGATCTGCGTAACCTTTACTGACGAAATCTTTGGAGGCTTTTTTTGCTTTAAAGTACATCAGCAACGGAAACAAAAAATAGTTTTGAACAAGTTAGGTAACAGTCATCGGGAACCTCCCTATTCATCCTTCGAAGGAGGTCATTAAAGGAGACTTGCAAGTTTGCAGAGGATTTCATTTATTTCTTTTAATGTTTTTGCCTTTACACATAGGAACGCAGGGCTACTTTGAGTCGTGCAAGCTTCAATAGGACGTCCTTCAACCTAGGAGACAATCTAACACTAAACATCCTGGTAGAGAATCAAGGACATATAACAGGAGGCTCAGACATGCAGGATCCCAAAGGAATCCTTGGAAATGTGACCATAAACAAGGAAATTCTTGTCGACTGGGAAATGTACACATTGGACCTACAAAGTTCTCGAGGGTGGAGTGAGGCTTTTAAGAATGATAACACAGGGACAGCAAGCGACCTTTTGTCTGACGTACCCACGTTTTATCATGGCTTTTTCAATATATCCTCCGATGGTAACCCAGGAGACACTTTTCTGAAGTTTCAAAATTGGCATAAGGTAATATACGCTGGTATGCTTCTTAATTATATTTTCTTCTATGCGGGAGAGCAGAGGAGACCTGTTTCCATAGTGATCGACTAATGACGTTAACTTGAAGGCGCGCATCCACATTGGTTACCAACTTTTTACGCAAATCGTAGTAAATATATTTTAATAAAAAAAAAACTTTCCAAGTTGAAATCTGGAATATAGTCTGGACTCGCTTTGTTCCGTATCCACTACAACATGGAAATTGACCTTGATGAAATAATCCGCTGATTTGCAAGGCTTCATCTGAAAAGAACGGAACTGGCCAATATCCTGTGTGAATGACTCAAAAAATACAGGGAAGGGGACTTTAGGGAATTAAAATCCCCAAAAAACTTAGGGAGCATGCTCTCGGACCCCCTCAGAAGCTTGCGCCTTCGGCGCTCGTTTAGAAAATCGGTCAGTATTTATCCTGGATCCGCGCCTAACTTGACAGACTCAGTTGATATGATTGGCTGCTATTTTGGTGCCCCATGTGACAATACTCAATACTCAGTATTTTATTAAGAATTAGACGTTTTCAAGATTGATATCGACACAGACAACAGCTGCATAGTAGACTAGGTCTATTTAATATCTCAGCGAACCACAATTGCCCAGGTCAACATTCTAAACGAGGTCACTTCTGATAATTTGTCGTTTTAGGGTCAGCTGTACGTCAATGGCTTTAATCTGGGTCGTTACTGGCCCGTGAAGGGTCCTCAACAGACACTTTACGTCCCTGGCTCATTGTTGTCTGCTGGAAAGCCAAATGAAGTGATTCTCTTGGAGCTGGACAGTGCACCCTGTACGGTCCCTGAGAGCTGTTTTGTGCAAAGCGTCTCGACGCCCATCCTGGACGGACCCGTGGATGGGAGCCCTCCTAAGCGGGCGTGAATTTGACGGCGATTTTCCACTACAAATTGGAAGCCATAANTTTTAGGGTCAGCTGTACGTCAATGGCTTTAATCTGGGTCGTTACTGGCCCGTGAAGGGTCCTCAACAGACACTTTACGTCCCTGGCTCATTGTTGTCTGCTGGAAAGCCAAATGAAGTGATTCTCTTGGAGCTGGACAGTGCACCCTGTACGGTCCCTAAGAGCTGTTTTGTGCAAAGCGTCTCGACACCCATCCTGGACGGACCCGTGGATGGGAGCCCTCCTAAGCGGGCGTGAATTTGACGGCGATTTTCCACTACAAATTGGAACCCATAATAATAATATTATAAATAATAATAACAATAATTATTATTATAAGAATTATAAGAAGAAGAAGAAGGATAATAATAATTGCGATGATGATGATGATTATGATGATGATGATGATGATGATGATACCTTAATTTAGGACACAATTGGTTTGCTAATTGGAGATTCGTCACGGAAACTTAATAGTTCTATTTGATTTTTTATAGCTGGTTAATGTCATTTACCTTTTGCAGAAATAAAGTTCCGTTTTTGTTGTTCTCCTTGTATCACATACATCTCGAATAAATAGCGGGTTGCTCTCCAAGACAGAAGGTCAGGTTGCAGAGAATTTGTAATGCTAAGTTATACCCAAAAAATCCTCTTACCTAAACAACTAGGACGCCAATCTGCGTCTATTCTTCTTCTGTAAAATTGGCCGCCTGAAATCGCGGCTTTTTAAGTAGGGGTAAAAGAGTTGCACTTTTTACTTTCCAAGACAGCATGTACTTTCGCCCCAGTGGAGGGAAATAACCGGCGGCGACTGTAGAAGCTAACAGCGTCAACTCGAGTGAGTATAATGGCTCAGCTCATCTCTCCCGGGCCGGTGGGGCCTAGCATTCATAGAACAATCCCACGGTAAAGTCTTAAACAACGCGCGCAGATTTCCCCCCTCCCCAGACCCACAGACAACCCAGGATATTTTCTTGAATGACGCTAAATCCATGTAATGTCCGTTTTGCCTTAAAACAGAGCTGGTGCTTAAAATGAATTAACTGAAATAAAGAAAGCAAAACACAATAAGGATTTGAGAGATTCACCGGAAATACAGAAAGGGAAGTTGTGTGACAGTTTGTGTTTGTTTGTTTGTACGTGTAGCGAACTCTTTGCGATGGTAATCCTAGCTGTGCAGCGCTGAATCTTGAGTCCCACCCATTTACTACGTTCTGATCTATTAAGACCGTTCCAAATTGTGTAGTTTGTGATTCCTGTCTCCCAAACAATAATGGCCTTGCTGATATTCCTTAGTTCGATGGTCACCATAAGCGTTGTAGCATTCTCAAGCGCAGAGGAATCCTGTTTGAAGCTCAATACATGTGTGTGTATGTTCAGTAATAAGTCAATAGTTGACTTATGGCCGGTGGACGGATCTTCCAAACCGAGGTAAAAAACCTTTCATATTCATATTCTGAATTGTTAAAAAAAGCACGTTGATTTGATTGCATTTGCTTTGCTCTGTATTTTGGGGAGAAAGAAGCGCAGAGAATCCCATTTCCATCCTCATGCGCAAATTATGCTTTATTATAAAGATCTTAGTTAACTTTATTCTCTATAGCTATACTAGACATACTTGATATACTGGATGTACTCATACCGCAGGCAAACTAATTAGCCAAAAAACATAAAAGTTGTTTTCTTTATCATCCTTCAGGGGAAAATTATTATAATAATGCCAGTGTAATGTGTTGTTCTCCGATGGGGTCAAAGGGGCTTTTGCGTGATAAGGGATTAAGTGCTTTTCATTTTCGTGAAAGGTGAACACAAAACGAAATTAAAACTCGAGAACTGTAAATGGTTTGCTTGTCGTGATACGTGAACTTTTAAATCTTTTATCCGATATTCGTGATTTTCAACTAATTTTTGCGTGAAAATGGATGGTAAGTTGAAACTGAAGAAAAATTTTACTGAAGCCAGTGGACCTTCAAATGAACTTGTCTTAATAGTCCTGAAGGACTTTACGTCGTTCCCTCATATGTCCTAAATGACCTTAAAAGCCTTTATCGGCTCCTGTTTCACCCACCGAGTCCCGAGCTTGAAAAGAATTTCCGTAAAGTCAGTATTTGCTAGCCTGTGTTGCAACCGGCCCGCGCACTCGTCAAAACCATTTGTATAGTCTATACAGAAGGTTGAGAACGTCTGCTACGCAGGCAAGTACTTGTCAATCAATCATAATTCAGCTCTTATCTTTGTGGAGCTAACACGCGTGGGGTTTTCGGGTGGGCATCTTAGCTTAGGGGCAGTGGCCGACAGTGACACTGAGCAAGTTTTTAAATTATAGGGACAAATAGCAGAGTTTCCGCGCGCGCGCGCTAGTCCCATACCTAAGAGAAAATGGGAACCCATCGATATCATCGATACCAGAAAATTTGGTTATAATGACGTCACCGTACGCCCGTACGTCCGTACGAACTTTGGAGGAGGGGAAGGGAGTAAGGAGTCAGCCCGACTAGGGAAGGGTTATACGTTTGCTAGCGCTACATTTTTTCGGCGGGAAACGCTTTTGGGCAACCTGCTTTCTGTTTGGCGGGAAATCGCGTGGCCATCGTCGCTCTGAAAAAAAGGTTTTCTCTTTATGAAATAGTTGACAGCTGTATTTTAATGTATACATTGACGTGGATAACAGGAAAAGAACAGGAGCCCATATGGGCTCCTGGAAAGAGCTAGAGCGAGAGATAAAAAACAAAGGAGACAAATTTCGATGGAAGAAAAACATGAAAAATTTATAGCCGCGGTGAGAAAATGCGAAATGCTAACGGCCACGAAGGTGAAAACTAGCGGCAGCAAAAGAAAAGTGAACAAGAACACATACAAAATTTCCTCCATAGAACGTGTAACAAGAAAGTTTCTGGAAATTTCGATTCAGGTTGTAGTGGAGCAAAACAACGGCAGCGAAATGTACAAAAAAAGTGTTCTGCACGTGCAAAGTTGTTTTTTTGCTAATTAAACCTACTGGTTTATTTTGGCTGTCTTCGTTGCCGTCGCCGCTTAGCATTACACGACTTTATATTTTGTTTGAGTAAACTATAGATATTAACTGGGAGCTTCGCTTTGAGCCCTGCCTAAATCTATATGACGTCCTATGTATTAAATTATGTAGATCGCATGGGTTTTCTTGGAGGTAAAGAACGAATTCGAATACCTACAATAAGCATTCATTCCTCGAAGCTCTTCTAAGCGGTACATCATTGAATACACTGGTTTCAAAGCTGAGTCCCAAAAGCGTGGTCTAGGATCCCCGACTGAAATAACTGAAACTCTGTTAGAAAAGTTCTCAGAAGGGAGCAAAGCTTATGCGTTAAACAACGACAAAAATAATTAAGATGAAATGAATTTTCGATGAGCAGTTACACTTCGTAGCGGAAGAATGGTCAAAGCCAAGTCAAAGTTCTTAAAAAATCATTTCTTACTAGATTGTAAGGCTTATTCTCAGATCAGAGACATATTTTTCTCCAAACTAGAAACTAAAATACCTGACTTCAAATCACTTTCACACGATACTTTAATATCTCTTCTTATGAATTCTTCTCATTATCATCAATTAGTTTCATTTATCTCGCAATGTTTTGAATTAAGAACCAAATTGATATCAATGAATGAATAAATGAGAACTGTAACGTTTTGTAATGTTTTGCACGTACTAATTAGTTGAATTAGTACTTAAATTTAGACTAATAGCTTTTGCAATACTGTAATTCCTTTATGGTCATGCAAATAAAGCATTTCGTGTTGTTGTTGTCTAAGTTTCCCTTTAATATTTAGACTTATTTCGTGGATAGTAAATAAATAAGACAATGGAATTAAGGTTAAATGTTTATAGTACTATCTGTCAGTATTAGTCATCATCAGTTTACCGGTACCCTCACCTACATTGTATGTTCACCTGACTTGTCTACTGCCTCTGTTACTTCTATTTCTCTGCGATAGCTCGCAGGGTATGCGGCGAGAGGCTCAAAAGGCAAAACATCAACCGTACTGATGGCCGAATTTATACAAGAGACGAATTATCCGTGTAGACGTACCCGTCTCAGACGGATAATTCGTCTCTGGTATAAATTCGGTGCTATTAAGACGAATTATGAAGCAAAATTCGTCTGAGGCTGATTCGTCAGTTAGCACGTCTTGAAGACGTGCAAACAGACGGATAATTCGTCTTAGACGGATTATCCGTCTCTAAATTTATATCTAGACGGAACTTAGACATGCAGTTTTTTGACGAAGTTTCCACGTGAGAGGGACTGGTTTCTTTATTTTGGCAATGTTTCCTAGGATAAATAAATATTTTCGAGACAAATTATTCGTCAACGAAATTTATCCGTGTTCGGATTGATACTTCGACGAATTATACGTCTGATGGATAATCCGTCTAGACTTATAACTTGTCTCTATAGTATAAATTCGGCCATCAACTCTGCAGACAGCAGCATTCTGAACAGGTGTAGCCATCCGCTGCCCTTTTACTTCGTAAAAATTCTGTGAAACGTGAACACGGAATTTTAATCACAATGATGAGTTATTTTTACTTTTTAAAGTCCGTGATACGAGCGTAAGACCCTCCCTTTTACCCCTCCCCCCTCTCTTCTCCCTTTCATGCAGTTTGCTCTCCGCACATTACAACGTCGACTTGTTGTGATCATAAAATATTCTAATTTTCGGTTTTAAGCTTATGTTATTTAACAATGATCAATACAAACTTCGATTGAGAAGGTTTCAGCAATGTACCAAAGTGGTATCTTTTCATTTTAGTTTTACTCAAATACCGGAAGCTGAGGGACGCGTTTTCGATTGGAACCCCTGCACACCTTTCACTACTGATGTATCCGGCTGCAACAATGTGACGGTAAGTTAGTGACATGAAAAATACCTGTTAACTCTAGGAGCGTGGCAAATACAAAACTTTCATGAAGGACCTGTTAGTCCATAACACAGTGAATTTAATAATGATATTGAAATAGCAAAAATTAACCAACAAGTAACAACCAACTCACTTTAAATGGTGTTTTATGGTGACTTGTCTCTGAAAACACTAAATGCTTGCATGCATAATCACCCAAAATGTTTGCCTGTACACTGAAAGCAGCTTTAAGGGTAGGGGTGGCCAGCCCGGCCTACTTGTTTGTTTTGGGTTTCACTTTTTGTGAAGGTTTTGATCCTGAACCCAGTGCAGTTGTCCACGAGATACCATTTTCCCCCACCCATTTTCAGCTCGGACCCGGCGTTCAAAACTTGTACTGGAAATTTCGGTGGCTAGCTTATACAAATCAGCAAATATATGAAGACGAGTGTCTGTATAAAAATTTGATAATTTTGATTCTCCCTCCTCAGTCTTGTCAAAAGAATAAATTGTAAAAATTATCAAAGAAAAATTTTACTGAAGCCAGTGGACCTTCAAATGAACTTGTCTTAATAGTCCTGAAGGACTTTACGTCGTTCCCTCATATGTCCTAAATGACCTTAAAAGCCTTTATCGGCTCCTGTTTCACCCACCGAGTCCCGAGCTTGAAAAGAATTTCCGTAAAGTCAGTATTTGCTAGCCTGTGTTGCAACCGGCCCGCGCACTCGTCAAAACCATTTGTATAGTCTATACAGAAGGTTGAGAACGTCTGCTACGCAGGCAAGTACTTGTCAATCAATCATAATTCAGCTCTTATCTTTGTGGAGCTAACACGCGTGGGGTTTTCGGGTGGGCATCTTAGCTTAGGGGCAGTGGCCGACAGTGACACTGAGCAAGTTTTTAAATTATAGGGACAAATAGCAGAGTTTCCGCGCGCGCGCGCTAGTCCCATACCTAAGAGAAAATGGGAACCCATCGATATCATCGATACCAGAAAATTTGGTTATAATGACGTCACCGTACGCCCGTACGTCCGTACGAACTTTGGAGGAGGGGAAGGGAGTAAGGAGTCAGCCCGACTAGGGAAGGGTTATACGTTTGCTAGCGCTACATTTTTTCGGCGGGAAACGCTTTTGGGCAACCTGCTTTCTGTTTGGCGGGAAATCGCGTGGCCATCGTCGCTCTGAAAAAAAGGTTTTCTCTTTATGAAATAGTTGACAGCTGTATTTTAATGTATACATTGACGTGGATAACAGGAAAAGAACAGGAGCCCATATGGGCTCCTGGAAAGAGCTAGAGCGAGAGATAAAAAACAAAGGAGACAAATTTCGATGGAAGAAAAACATGAAAAATTTATAGCCGCGGTGAGAAAATGCGAAATGCTAACGGCCACGAAGGTGAAAACTAGCGGCAGCAAAAGAAAAGTGAACAAGAACACATACAAAATTTCCTCCATAGAACGTGTAACAAGAAAGTTTCTGGAAATTTCGATTCAGGTTGTAGTGGAGCAAAACAACGGCAGCGAAATGTACAAAAAAAGTGTTCTGCACGTGCAAAGTTGTTTTTTTGCTAATTAAACCTACTGGTTTATTTTGGCTGTCTTCGTTGCCGTCGCCGCTTAGCATTACACGACTTTATATTTTGTTTGAGTAAACTATAGATATTAACTGGGAGCTTCGCTTTGAGCCCTGCCTAAATCTATATGACGTCCTATGTATTAAATTATGTAGATCGCATGGGTTTTCTTGGAGGTAAAGAACGAATTCGAATACCTACAATAAGCATTCATTCCTCGAAGCTCTTCTAAGCGGTACATCATTGAATACACTGGTTTCAAAGCTGAGTCCCAAAAGCGTGGTCTAGGATCCCCGACTGAAATAACTGAAACTCTGTTAGAAAAGTTCTCAGAAGGGAGCAAAGCTTATGCGTTAAACAACGACAAAAATAATTAAGATGAAATGAATTTTCGATGAGCAGTTACACTTCGTAGCGGAAGAATGGTCAAAGCCAAGTCAAAGTTCTTAAAAAATCATTTCTTACTAGATTGTAAGGCTTATTCTCAGATCAGAGACATATTTTTCTCCAAACTAGAAACTAAAATACCTGACTTCAAATCACTTTCACACGATACTTTAATATCTCTTCTTATGAATTCTTCTGATTATTTAATTAACTGTCAATTAGTTTCATTTATCTCGCAATGCTTTGAATTAAGAACCAAATTAATATCAATGAATGAATGAATGANTAGTCATCATCAGTTTACCGGTACCCTCACCTACATTGTATGTTCACCTGACTTGTCTACTGCCTCTGTTACTTCTATTTCTCTGCGATAGCTCGCAGGGTATGCGGCGAGAGGCTCAAAAGGCAAAACATCAACCGTACTGATGGCCGAATTTATACAAGAGACGAATTATCCGTGTAGACGTACCCGTCTCAGACGGATAATTCGTCTCTGGTATAAATTCGGTGCTATTAAGACGAATTATGAAGCAAAATTCGTCTGAGGCTGATTCGTCAGTTAGCACGTCTTGAAGACGTGCAAACAGACGGATAATTCGTCTTAGACGGATTATCCGTCTCTAAATTTATATCTAGACGGAACTTAGACATGCAGTTTTTTGACGAAGTTTCCACGTGAGAGGGACTGGTTTCTTTATTTTGGCAATGTTTCCTAGGATAAATAAATATTTTCGAGACAAATTATTCGTCAACGAAATTTATCCGTGTTCGGATTGATACTTCGACGAATTATACGTCTGATGGATAATCCGTCTAGACTTATAACTTGTCTCTATAGTATAAATTCGGCCATCAACTCTGCAGACAGCAGCATTCTGAACAGGTGTAGCCATCCGCTGCCCTTTTACTTCGTAAAAATTCTGTGAAACGTGAACACGGAATTTTAATCACAATGATGAGTTATTTTTACTTTTTAAAGTCCGTGATACGAGCGTAAGACCCTCCCTTTTACCCCTCCCCCCTCTCTTCTCCCTTTCATGCAGTTTGCTCTCCGCACATTACAACGTCGACTTGTTGTGATCATAAAATATTCTAATTTTCGGTTTTAAGCTTATGTTATTTAACAATGATCAATACAAACTTCGATTGAGAAGGTTTCAGCAATGTACCAAAGTGGTATCTTTTCATTTTAGTTTTACTCAAATACCGGAAGCTGAGGGACGCGTTTTCGATTGGAACCCCTGCACACCTTTCACTACTGATGTATCCGGCTGCAACAATGTGACGGTAAGTTAGTGACATGAAAAATACCTGTTAACTCTAGGAGCGTGGCAAATACAAAACTTTCATGAAGGACCTGTTAGTCCATAACACAGTGAATTTAATAATGATATTGAAATAGCAAAAATTAACCAACAAGTAACAACCAACTCACTTTAAATGGTGTTTTATGGTGACTTGTCTCTGAAAACACTAAATGCTTGCATGCATAATCACCCAAAATGTTTGCCTGTACACTGAAAGCAGCTTTAAGGGTAGGGGTGGCCAGCCCGGCCTACTTGTTTGTTTTGGGTTTCACTTTTTGTGAAGGTTTTGATCCTGAACCCAGTGCAGTTGTCCACGAGATACCATTTTCCCCCACCCATTTTCAGCTCGGACCCGGCGTTCAAAACTTGTACTGGAAATTTCGGTGGCTAGCTTATACAAATCAGCAAATATATGAAGACGAGTGTCTGTATAAAAATTTGATAATTTTGATTCTCCCTCCTCAGTCTTGTCAAAAGAATAAATTGTAAAAATTATCCAGCTCTTTAGAGCAAAGTGTTTCAACTATAATTGTTTTTGGTCGTGGGCTTTGGCTTTTAAATGCATATACAAATCAGCAAATTTATGCAGAGCAGTGAGTATCCAAAACATTTTTTAATTTTAATTTTTTTTTTCGCAGTCTTGTCAAATTGTTGACGTTCAAAATTACCCAGCTGGGATAGCAAACACCACTTTTTCTGTGAACAGTGAAGGCAATGTAGTTATCATATATGGAGCATCGAAAAGTCATTCTGACAAGACAGGGAGGTATTTTGCAACATTTATTTATTTTCAAACCAGAATCTACGATTGAGGGAAAGGGTCAAAGAATAACTGGTCTACGAGTCAACGGATTTTTTTGTCCCTTTTTTCATAATTTTCCATAAACTCCGAAAATTTTGACAAGAGAAATGACTTATTTGAAGCCAGCACTCAAGCTCTTTTCCCTGGCTGACTAGATTACTGTTTGAATTTTCCAACAAATTTTACATTTTTTGGCCTTTGGATGCCGGGGTAGCGAAACCCTCTTGACCCTTGTGGACTGGTTCAAAATTTAAGGAGTAGTGTGACTGTTTCTCATAATCAAATATTACATTAGGCTCTGCTTATGCCAGGGAAAACCAGTTAATGTATCCCGTTATAACAAACCTTCTAATGTTATCTCCTGAAAAATATGCATGTTTCAGAAAGATGACGGTCAATTCTGCAAAACTTATATCAGTGGCAATTAATAGCCTGGAATGGATCTTAATACCTGAGATTTAGCATCCACAACAATTGCATTAGAGCGGTTTTCACTTGACTGTCGAAATTAATTGAGGAATTGGTTTGGTTTTGGTTTTACTACGCCCTTTGGTTGGCTAGTGTATTTACTTTGGTTTTGGTTTTACGACAGTCAAGTGAAAACCGCTCTAATATATGATGGATATTAAATGAGTCAGGAAATTTTGTTAATTTTATATCAACTGTTTCAGGTAATGCCGGGCTAGAGAGATGGTATAGCTGTTGTAGATCTAATTGATATATGGTTTATCTAGGCAAACAGAAATTACACTGAGGTGTGATCCAGACAAACCAGGCAAAGGAACCATACCAAGCCTTACAGGGACAATTCATCCCTCAGGACATGTCTTATATGTAAATATATTAGAGTATTTTGACTTTTAACCTTTTTATAATCATAGAGCAGAAGCAGTGAGTGATCACTGATGAGCATGAAAAATAGGTTATTTATTCATTGTGACCAAATATAAGAATATCAAATAAGAAGAGGTGAACAAGTAAAGCACACCAAAAAAATGTACATAGATTATGAGTCATACCTTGTTATTACATTGGTACCACTGCAGTTTTATGCAATGATTTAAGAATGGCTTTTGGTCCAAAAAGATACCCTGTTCAAGACGCTAAATGGTAACATCATACCCTGTACAAGGCTTGACCCTGAAAACCACACCCTGTTCAGTGTCACATACCCGTATAGGCAAATAAGGGAGGGCCCCCAGTATGTCACTCACACCCACTTATTCACCTGGGTGATTGAAGAGGATGAGACCAACAGGGTCGGGAGGTTTACTAAACAAGAGAGACTGTAAAGCTTGAACACAGACCTACAGCAACAAAAGAATGGGGTGTAATCATTAAGCCACCACACTAACACTGGGTCCCTGGGGTTGGACATTAGCAGCTTTAGTGTGGCTTGTGAATCGTGTATTTACCTACCCCAGGGGTACCCCCTAGGTTTTGACATGCACTTGGTTACCGCCTCGAAACCAAGACAAGTAAGATTTCTTCGTAAAGGTCCAGCCATTTGCCGCTGATTGGCTTGTCATTCAAGGTCTCGGTAAATTTGGGTGTTTTTAAAAAGCATAATTTCTCAACTTGATACGTTTCTTAATTTTGTTTTAATAAAGTGACAACTTCAGCTATCAATACCAAAAACATTAAGTCAGCGGTTTTAAGTTGATTGTGAATGATACCACGGGTGTGGCATTTGCCATCTTCCTGCATTCTTCGTCAATTTGGCAGTTTTAGTGTCCCTACCCCCAGGTATTTAGCATCCAAGAGAAACTGTACTAATGCCAGAGCATTTATCCAGGGGGTGAGGGATGGGCACAACTTGAACTGACCGATATGTATAAAAAAGAGCCATAATGGGACATGCTCTTGGTATAAATCATTCAAGACCTCTCTTGCGCAATCTTAAATTTGAAGACATTTTCATTACTGCCGCTCGGTTATGGAATGACATTGTAGCTTAAGCATATCATTTTTACAAAACATATATTTATTGCTTAAGTAACACCAGAAAAATAATTGCTTTTCAGAATGGAACATTTACTTCCAAATTCGCCTGTGCCTTTCCAACTCACCAAACTCTGCCTGGTGATCCTGTGCAACAGAAGGATGAAGTGATAAACTAAGTTACAGTGACAAGAACGCTAAATTTAGCAATGGATCAATTAATTAAGGTTTAGTGGAACCCCGTTGATACCGGCACCATGGTTGAGCCGTGAAACTGTAGTCGTATTAGCAACTTAACTGGTGGCGTCGCGTTATTATACAGTGGAACCCCGTTAATACGACCACCTTCGGGCCATGGAAATTTTGTCGTATTAACGGGGTAGGGTCAAATTATGGTGCAAAATGCTTTTAAACTACATTCTACTACATGTATACCTTTAATCCGTTATAAATCAACCTTTTTGCAGTTAATTAGCAACCTTACAACCGCAATTCAATGCAACTGAACAATGTAACAGTAAACGAAACCGAGTAATGAGAAAAAACACCGACTTCTTTCAGTTCCTTGTTATGAAAGGAAAGGGCTTGTGATTTGTCTCGAAGAGCCGTTTTCTATATTGTAGCGTACAACACTTTGACAATTATTACAAAGTTCAAAGTTC